TGTGTAAGTTTTGGAATATACCCTTTTCGAAACGTGTGAGCTACAGACCATATTTACCTTTCAATTATGTAGGTTATATATTTCAAAAAGATGAGTGAAAAAAGGCTAAGTTGGCTTTCCATTTAAGAATTGGAAATAATTTTTCTAAAAATTTTCCCAGATCAGAAAAAGGTTCTGAGTTCTCTTGTTTAGAACTGATTTTACATTTTGAAAAGATTTAAACCAATAGTGCAGTTACTAATGTCATATATCTTTACCTAAACTAGCCCTTTCTCATCATGGCTCCTCCATAGTCAGGGACACAAATGCTCTACTTCTCTTTCACAAGGTGAATGCCATCGTTACTTGTTATCCAAGTAAATTAGACTTATATTTTACAAACAGCCACTCAGAGCACCTTGTAAATCCAGGCAATACAGCCACTCCATAACTAAGAACCACAAAGAATATCAGAGTCAATTATTAGATAAGGACTTTTTTTCAGAAGACAAAATGAAATATTTTTCTTAACAAGATTAGCAAAAAATATTAAAGAGAAAATTTGAAATTTTAAAAAGGATAAACTATCATGCTAAATGAATGTTTAAAAGTCGGTGATTATCTCACAAATTTCCCTGAATAAAGAATAATTCATTATTAATCAATTAATTTTTAATTAACCTGAATTCTTACCTACCCATAAATCAGATGATCTAAGCTAGATTTTGCAAACATCACAACATAAAAATAAAAAGAATAATCCATTTTCTGATAAGTTTCATAGAATGTCAATAAATTAACATGGTGGAGGAGCTAGAGTATTAGTACTAGTTAGGAAGATCTCCAACACTTAGCAGCAGTGTGATTCTTCTTGATCACTTCCCTCTGAGCCTCAGTTTTCTCATCTGCAAAATGGTGATAATGATAGCACCAACCTTATAGAGTTGTGAGGATCAAGAGATAAAATCTCTATAAATGCTTTGCAAATCTTAATGCACTAAACAAATGTCAGTTACTACTATATTATTTATAAGTAGTTATCTTTGATGGTGAAGTATTGTTCATAATAATTTAATTCCTTTTCAAATACTGAAATTGCAAAATAATAAGGTATACGATATTTTAGAATAACTATATTTCCACGCCCTAGAAAAATAGAGAAAAGAATGCATGGTCTTTCCCCAGCCTCCCAGCTCTCCAGTCATTAATGAATGACTCTGGGAAAGTTGCTTCTTCCTCTCATCTATGTGACAATGACACCCAGCCTTACATGGAAACCACTCTGCAGTTATATGGCCTGTTCTAGAAGATCTCCAAGGAAAGATTCTGTAGTCAACCTCAATTTTTCAATTTCAGAATATACTGACAAAGAACTGGGAAGGCAGTGGGGTGGTTATATATAACAGCATCATTGTTTATGAAAAATGGAGCTAGTGGAGCTTGGCCCTCTTCCTGGTGCCACTCCCAAATCTTAGGGTGCCTCTGTGACCCTCTGGGCTAATTCTGAGCGATGGGAGCCTATGGTAGACTGGGGGAACTGTTCACATATGGACCCATTAGTCTCATTCAGTCTAAGAAGTTCCTCTAGGAACCCAGTCCAGTCAATGGTGATCAGATCATAGGAAGATACAACTCTGATTAGTACTTACCCCAAACACATAAAAATCAATGAGAACTGTGGCCAATAGCTCCCCTCACCATGCCCTAGGACTTAGTGGATTTCCTAGGTAAGATACATGCCAGGTTCCTCAAAACCTTCAGGAGTTCTAGGGCATTCCAAAGATTTTGGAGGTCTTACCCTACTTGAAGTTTCAAAGGGGTGATGCAGAGGCAGGCCTAAACTGAACATATGAGGCAGACTCTTGGAAGTAGCAAACTGTCCACTGTGTTCTGCCTTTGGCAGAGTAAGAGTAGGCCGTTGAAGAGGCCACTTGGTATATAAATATAAAACCCATGATATAGTGGATAGGCACTTGGAGTCAGGTAGTCTTGGGTTTAAATCTTGCTTCTGACATGGGGAGAGTTTCTCTCAGTCTAGTCATTCTTGCCATGCTCTCAACTCCACAAAGACCTGCCAGCAAGGACAGTGAAAGGAAAGGTATCAGTCATGGAAGGGATAGTTTTCTCCTGAGTCCATGTACCAGAAGCAGAGAGAAGCCTCACAACCTTGCATCCAAAGGAGCTACCCATGACAGGAGCTGACAGCCACTCTGAGTTCAGCAAAGTAATTCTGAAAAGATGGCCTGAGGAAACAGCAGAGAGGAGCGCCAAGCACACATGATGGGTTATGAATGTAAGACCAAAGGGGAACAGGCCTGGCTGAGCTAAGCAATGACATCTCCAGGAAAGACAAGCTTCCCTGCAGCCTGGAAGCTACAAGCTGCCTTTCCATGCTTGTGTCCTGACTTCATATGTTGTTTCTATGTGTCTCTTCCTCCACATGTATGCTTGGCCGCACACAATCTCTGCATGTGCACCCCAATCATCGATGATACTTATTTGTAGGCCTCTCCAAACAGATGTATTCCAAGCACATCTATTCTTCCCACTAGAAGGGATGGTGTTACCCTTAAAAGAAATAAAAACTTAAAATTCAGCAATTCAAAAACATTTATGAAGCAACTACTATGTACAAAGAAATCTATGTTTGGAAGATAAAAGGAAAATGAATCACATGCAAACACTTTCATAATCACCCATTTCTTTTTCCTCACCAGAAAAAAATCCTCTTTTCATTTAATATTTTGTGCCTTCTATATAACTTTATTTAATATATAATTGAGTAAGTCACTTAATTCCATGTTCCTCATATGCAAAAATGCAATGATTGGACTAGGTGATCTAGCTCTTAATACATGACACATGACCTGTAAATGTACCTTTTAATTCTCATAGCTCAAAATATTGATATTCTGCTGATCATAATTAAACTACATTTAGTAATTACCTCTTTAAAATATCTAATTCTAAGGTTTTTTTCAAACAAAGATATTCTCCTAAAATTAATGTGACAAAATTTTTTTATCTTCTTTAATTTACTTTTTGATAAAAGCTTTTTTTTGGTGAAACAATGCATTTAGGATTTTCTGAGATGCTGAAAAGACAATAGCAAAAACATCTCCTCTCTGATTATCCTCCATTGACTTCTTATAATTTTATCCAGTCAGAGACAATTCTCATTCTAAAAGATCAGCTAAAAACTTGGATTCAACACTATCCAATTTTCTGCAAATTCCGAGGGGCAGAGGGTCTGGACCATGTTCAAGGCACTAATAAATACAAAGATTTCTTACTTTTTTTTGTGAGGAGATTGGGGTTAAGTGACTTGCCCAGGGTCACACAGCTAGTAAGTATTAAGTGTCTGAGGCTGGATCTGAACTCAGGTCCTCCTGACTCCAAGGCCAGAGCTCTATTCACTGTGCCACCTAGCTGCCCCTTCTTACTTTCAAAAAGTGTAAGAACAAATAAATATAAATTAAATGTAGAATGATTAAGTAAATAGGACATGTCAAAGAGAGTGGGAAATTTTTTGAGGAGGAAATCACCACTTCAAGTTGGAGAGATCAGAGAAAGTATTTAAACTGAGCCTTAAATGAGAAAAAGATTTCAGTTGGTGAAGTGTTGGGAGAAAACCATTCAAGGCATTGATGATGGCATCTGAGATGCAGCATATGAGCCTAATGAGTGGAGACAGAAGGTAAGATGAGATTGGGAAATACTAGCTAATACAATTTTTCTGAAACAAAGCACAGGAAGAGATAGCAAGGGAGCTGGACAGGAAATTAGAAATGATCCAGTTTAACTCCAGTTTAACCAGATAAGGAGAAGTAAAAACAAGGTAATCAAGAAATTGAGGAGCACAGCTTGGATTTGAACCCAGGTCTGACAAGGAACACAGTCTTTTTTCCAGTGCTCTACACACTCACATGACTAGCATGAATTAAGTCTTGAAAACTGTATCCAGATTATGAAGAGCCTTAAAATAAAGCCTATGGAATTTGAATTTTAGTCAGGGTTATCCCAGATAGGCTACATCAGTAAGTAACTATGTGTCTAACCACATAATTTATACTTTTTAAAGATACAGTCATTTGAAATCATTGAAAATTCATTAACAACTATAAAAACACATGTAACTCAATACTCATACACCAAGTGATATTCATAACATTTTTGCAGGCTCATTTTTCCTTGTCAGTTCAAAAAAAAACATTTAATCACTTGATTTATCATGATATACAATTACTTTATTTAGGACAATGAACTGCATCATTAAAGCTGTATTTCTCAAAACCTTACCTTTGGCACAGGGAAGGAAAAGTTATTGAGCACATAAGGTTTAATATGAGAAGCTACTATGAATTATAGTAAAATTTCTATAAATCAGTCTGTTATAATTAATCCTGCAAGGGAGAGGTAGTTATTTAATCACACAGAACTGATTCTTGAAAGAGCTTCTTATAGGCACAATAATAATGTTTCACCATCATAAAATTAACCAGGCAAAGAAAAAAATGAACTATTTCACACACACACCCATGTAAGTTAACAAGAAGGAAAAAAAAGACTATTATGAATCACATTTCTAAAATCCTACAGACTTGTTTTAGTTTCTTTTTGATTATCAAAAAGTCCAGAGGCATAAAAGCAGTCTTTGTTGATCAAGATTCTCGATTAAAGTAGCAAAGTTCACAAAAAATAAGCAGCATTCCATTAACTGACTAAATCATGACTTCCTTTGAATCCATGCATCATTTCAACAAAAAACTTACATGAAAGATATCAAAGTATTAATCCCAAAAACAGCTAACCCTCCTGCATAAATATTCACACACACAAAAATACCATGATACATCCGAATAATTCTTATAAAATTTCAGATTAGTGAATTATAAGGCCTCCCTATCCCTGCTCCAGTTTTGACAGTTAGCAAACACAAAATCAAAGCATAGGAAATCATACATTTCTGGCAAGTACTCCAAAAATAAATCATAGCTGAAAATAAAGCATCACTGACAAACCTTATAAGTTCCAGGACCAGGAGTTATATTCTTAGGTTCTACAAAGCGCTTTTCTTTCTTAAGAAATAAAGACAGTTTAGGAGATGTCTTAAAAATTGGATTGTATGAAGCAGGTCCTAAAGAGAAATAAAGGAAGAACTTGGTAAGTAAAGGATGATTTTTAAATCACCTAAAAATTGATCTTAAATTCATATACTTCATTATTTTTTCTTATTAAACAATGAATATCAGTATAACAATGCTTAATAACTATTTACATTTAAAGTAATTTATTTCAATGTATAAAGTTTTTTTTCAGTAACAACCCCTAAATTCTCATCAGGACTCTTTGCTTCTTTGTTCTCATTGCCTTTTTCTCCTATAGCTATAGCACCTCCAGACTCCACTCTTTTGCTTCTAGTTTTTTTCATTTTACATTATTTCATAAAGACTTGCCCAGAATTCTTTGTATACCTCATATTTATCCAATTTAATTACATCATAATACTCCATTGTATTGTTCCACAATGTATTTAACCATTCCCTTGCTATTGGACATTCATGTCGCTTCCAATGATTTGTGTGTGTGTGTGTGTGTGTGTGTGTGTGTGTGTGTGTGTGTGTGTGTTGCAGGTGGTTGTAATTACAATGCTACTCTGAAAATCTTTATGAAAAAAGCTCTAACATAGTTTGTTTTTTGATTACACTTGCAGGATGTATTCCCAACAATGGAATTACTAGGTCAAAGAAAATGATGACTTCTGTAACTTTTCCGAAGCACTGCAATACCACTGCTCCCCACATTTGACAACTTGCAATTCCACCACCAATGAGAAATGGATCCATAAATCTTGTCATCTTTCAGTTTCATCATGTTTTTTTAAAAAAAAAATTCTATTCATGGTACGTGAACATTAATTTCTTTACCCTTTTGAAAACTGTTTGTTCATAGACTTAGGAGCTCTAACGAACGCAGTGACCAGTCAGAACTCTAGAAGACTGATGATGTAGCATGTGTCTTACTTCTGGGCAGGTGTGCTAGGTATAGAGTGTAATACAAAGTTTAAGGCAAGACCAATGCGTGATTTTGTTTTGCTTGACACAGTTATTGGTTATGAGGGGAGTTCTCTTATTTTGGGAGAAAGTTTTAGGAGGGAATATAGAAGGAAAAGTGGTAGAGATACATACACTAACAGAGAAAATGTCAATAAAACATATAAATACGCACAGAAGAGAGAAGGAAGTTCAGGCAAGGAAAACAAAAAAGAAGGGCACTTTAGTTACTATTGTGTTAAATGTAATATATACTTTCTTTATAAAAAAAAGGAACAATCTATATGTAATGGACTCATAGTTTCATATACTATCCTCTATTTTTCTTCTTATTTGTATATGGAAATGTGCATGTTCATGGATATTTGCCAAACTCATAATAAAATGGGGGATAAAAGAATGTATGCTCATAAAAACTAAATAGGACCATTAAGACAATATGCACAAAGAAAACAACAACACAAAACTGAACTCTGTGGACAGAAAACAACCAAGCTTGACCAAGATGAAAAAGATGAGAGGATCACTGTTCCTCCTTTCTTTACAGAGGTGGGGGATGGAGGGTGTGGAAATTTCATATATTGTTAGATTTCGTTACCTGTTGGTTAATTTTGCTGATTTTTTTCCCTTTTTTTGTTTTTGGTAACAAGGGTTAGATAGATCTTTGGGTAGGGAAAGAAGTGGTATATATTTAGAAGTTCAGGTAATATGAAAGCACAACATATCAAAAAGAAAAGAATAAGAAAAGAACATTTTCTCTCCATATCTTTTGACATGCTATCCACTATGGACTAGGAATTACCCCATGGGACTTTTCAAGAGTTCCTCATATGTATCAGATGTCAAGTTTTTATGTGTCATATTTTCCATATATTTTCCCAGTCTGTTTTTCTTTTCTTTTAATTCCATAGGTTTTGGCATATAGAATTGTTTTTATTTTCATGTAGTCAAGGACATCTATATTGTCCCTAATAATTCCTCGTGTATTTAATTGAAAAAAATTAACCTACCTTCTACAATTGGATTAAATATTCTACTCCATTTTCCATCTTCTTTATAGTTTAAAAAACAAAACTAAGTCCCACAGCAGAAAATAAGTTATATGACATAAGATGTGAGTTTCAATTCCTCTCCTTTGAGATTGCCAAATAATTTCCCCCAATACATTTGCTAAATAATGAAGCCTTTCCCCAGTTTTTATCTTCTGTGGTCTCCATAAGTATTAATCTTTTGCACAAATGATTCACTCACGTGTGTTTACCATTAAATTGAGCATCCTGAGACCCTCTTTTTTGGCCTTTAAAATTAATTGCTTTGAAATATTATAAACTACAGCAGTGATTACTTTTTATTTACACAATAAGACTTGTATGGCAAGATCCAAGTCAACATTTATTTTCTCCATCTAAAATAACTTCTGTCCACTTAAACACTTTTTCAGAATAGAATTATGGCATGTACCTCAGAGCTCATCTAACCAACTCATGCTGGACACAGAAATCTCCTCTACAATGTTCCTCATATTTGGTCAACCTGGATCCACTCAAAGACTTCCAGTAACATGGGATTCACTCCCTCCAGAAACATCCAATTCCACTCTTGGACGGTTCAAATTAAGAAGTTTTTTTTTCTTTTCTTTATATTACATTGAAATTGTCATTTTTAAAACTTTTATCCGCTGTTCCTAATGCTCTCCTCTGTAGCTAAGCAGAATAAGTCTAATCCTTTGTCAAATTGAGGCCTTTCAAATTTTTGAAGATAGCTACCACATGCCCCCTACATCCTCTCTAGCCTAAGCTAATTATCTACACTTACCTTTGCAGATTCCATGAGCTATAGTTTCAAGTTTCCTCACCAAAAGAGTTGAACTCTTCTAAATACTCTCTATGTTGCCAATGTCATTTCTAAAGTGTTATGCCCAAGATCTGGTAAGATATATTCTGTCCAGGAAAAGTATATTGGGATTATTATCTCCCTTGTTTCTGGAAACAATATCCCTTAAATTATCATTTACCTTTTCAGAAATGCTTTTAATGTTCCAAGTAAAATGTAATTTCCTTAAAGACACAGACCATATCTAATATTGCTTTGCATCTTCTGTAATATTTTTGTGCACAATGTAAATTCTCAGTGGGTAATGACAGCATGAAGAAATGAAACATTAAAAAGAAGTCTGTGATCTTAAGCATTTTTTACCATAATATGTCTTTCACATGAGAGATGAAGAAATTTCTACTCAACACCTGTATATATCCCTCTTCTATACTTAGCAAGTAGTATTTTGTGTTACAGTCATTTGTTTTTGAGCTCCATGAGGCAAGTGACTTTTTCTTATTTAATTGGTCTTCCCTATCCTCATTTCTACACCCACCCTCCAATGCCTGGTAAAGTTCAAATTAAGTATTAAATAAATGTTTGCTCAATCTGAAGGAGGAAATAGACCTTAGGTCATATTTCTAAGGAACAAAAAGTAGAAAAGACAGGAGAGAGAGAGAGAGAGAGAGAGAGAGAGAGAGAGAGAGAGAGAGAGAGAGAGAGAAACAGCCAGAATGGTAAGACTAGTGAACTGAAATGGAAGCCAGATGAGAATTGAATTTCAGAAGGTCAGGGTGTCAGGAATGTAAAGTGAAATGAAGCTGCTGGAGATAGCCACTGGAAAGTGGTTATGCACTTTCAGTAGAGTAGTAAAGATAGAAAGTGGGTTACAGGGAATTATGGAGTGAATGAGTAACAGTAACACTAGACACAGAATGCTTTAAAAGTTTGTCAGTGAAAGAAAGGAAAGGAATATTATGTTACATAGGCAAAAGTAAGGTCAAGAAAGTGCTCTGTGTTATCTTGTGTCTTCTAGAATAGGTACAAATTACATATGTTTGAAGGCTGAGGGAAAGCCCGTAGAGAGAAAAGTTGAAGACACTAAAAAAGGGAGGCTGGGTGAGAGAAGAGGGCTATAACTGAACTGTTAAGCTCCCAGAGAAGGCAGGCAACAAAGAGGTTAACTGTGAAAAGGAAGGATACTTCTTTCTCTGAGAGAGGATGGGGGAAATGGGCTTAGGGGACAGATAACATGAAACAGAGACAAGAGAAGATTGAAGAGTTCATACCAGATGGCCTTAATTTTCCCTGAAAGGTCATTAAGACAGCTCTGAGGTTGAAGCTATGAGAATGATATCTTTGGGGTTTCTGAGGAAAGGAGAAAGGTTTGGAACAGTTGTCATAAGGAGTGATTAGGGGAATCAAAGAAGATGAATCAAAAAATTGCTAAGGTGCAGTGAGAACTGAGGTTAAATAGCATGAAATTGTAGTGGGTCAGTTTTACATGGTTTTGTACCTTTTTCCAGTAATAGTTTCCTGTGTCTGGGGAGCACAAGAGTAGAAAAAGTAGACTCAATGTTGGGTCAAGACTGATTCAAGTTTGAAGACTTTTACAATGAGCATTGCAAATACACTGATTTAGGAAATGTAAAGGGTAGCTAGGAGGCACAGTGGATAGAGTGCCTGATCTGGAGACTGGAAGACCTGAGTTCAAATCTGGACTCAGACACTTACTTGCCTTGTGACTGTGGGCAAGTCACAGAAGCCTACTTGCCTCAGTTTCCTCAGCTGCAAAATGATCTGAAGAAGGAAATGGCAAATGATAAGATAAAAAGGAATTAAAAATTAAAAAAAAGATAAAAGGAATTAGAATTTTTTTTTTTAAAAAAGGAAAGAATGAGCAGGGGAACAAATATTATTGACTTCAGCATCTCTCAAAATCAGCCTTACCATCTCCTCACCATACTGCCTATATTCTGACAATCATCTGCAAGTTCACTACACTCCCCTTGCCATTCCACTCCCAACATTAGCCTCCATCCCTGGGTCACCCAGGTCTAGTAGTTAGCTTTTTGCTTAATCATGTCAGGAAAGCAGACTTATATAATACTTCTTGGCCACCTTCACAACACAATGCCTGGAGTCCAGCATGGTTAAACTATCTTCCCATCCCTACCTCTTCTAACTTCCTTTTTGTGTGTTGTCTTCTTTCACAAGTGTGTAATCTCCTTGGGGACAGGCACTATCTCTATTACTTATATTAACATCC